AAAAATTTTTTTGGTTTTTTTTTTTTTTTTTTTTTTTTTGATCTCGTACACGTGGACGTGGATAGTGGTGACCAAGATGGAGTCGTAGGATTTTTTTGTCTCTTGGCGAAACACGTCGATAAACCTCGTCGATGTTTAACTACCAAAGCGAGACTACTCTTCTCACCTGGCTATCATCATGATTCATCATCATCATCATCATCATCTCTTTGGATAGCAGCAGAGCAATTCTACGCTAGAATCCGGCGAATTCGCATCCCCGTGATCGTCCAATTGGAATCCAGTGTGTACAAGCAAGCCTGGACGCAACAAAGCTGCAACAACTTATTCGCTACCTCTAGAGTGTTCGGCTAGAACGGTGTCCCATGGGAAAATTATTTAATGGGGTAAACAATTATTTTTTTTTTATATTTGTATACCCATGACAATCCGATTTCCTTGCGAAGCTCGGTTTTCGTAATACGCTTTGCGTAAAATGAAAATTGATAAGCGACTTTCAAAAAATTATCATGGAACACCCTTCGGTCGTCACTCGTCTTTTTTTTTTTGAAAATTTTTTCTACGGTGACTTTTTTTAGCTTCTATAAATATCATTGCGTATGGCGGTGTGCTATCTCGATGCCACGGCAGAAGCGTTTCCAATATTTAAATAATGGACGACGATTGTCTTCTACACAGATTCTACGAAAGGATTCTACCATAGCTAGGATATGTTTATATTGGAATCCAATGAATATGGATAAAGGTAGATATAAAAAAAAAAGACAGGTAAGAAGGAAAAATGGAAAACGCGAGTGGATATCATCGTACCCAGCCACGTGTCAATCGCGCGTGCGCTGAAGGTAAATTGGCGGGTAATTTGAAAAAGAGTAGAAAAAAAAGAAACATGTCAATAATTAAGCTTCGCTCAGGGAATTACCATTTCTCTGTCGCGGCCAAGCTGCGTAATTAAAGAGACAGTAATACATCCGATGTGGCGATTGCTTTTCTTTTTCTTTGGTCTTTTTCTTTTTTTTTTCATAAGGAACAATGGATACGTAGGTGAGGTTAGGTCTGTACGCATGAAAAGTATAGACGAGACTGGACCTTGTGCCAGATGATCGCCCATAACGCTGTTGATCGGAGATACGCGTGTAAAGCATGGGAAAGCCAAGGAGATTGAAATTGGGATTTTTTTGGAAATTTGGAGTCGAGATGACGGGAAGTCGAGATTACGGGATAAGAGCGGAAGTGACGTGGTAGAATTATTTTTTTTTCGTAATATCTGAAGCAAACTAGTTATATCTACGAGAATTCATAGTCGACCATGTGCTTGGCTCGTTCACTAGTTGCGCGTGAACGTAACCTCAAAATAGAATTTTACCAAAAAAAAAGCGATCATAGCCACAATTTTTCTATGAGAAAAAAAAAAGTATAGGCAAAAGGTACATTCGCATAGTGATGAAAGAATTAAGAGATATCAATGGCTTGGTCAGGATTCTAGCATCACTTACACGTTGCGTCGTAAACCAATGCAAATTCTGCGTTTCTTCTCTGTATAGTAAAGGACGCCATCCTGGATGCGGAAATCGGAGGGGAAAAAAGAAAATTGATGCGCGCCATTGCCATATAGTGATACACGAGACAAGCACCAGGCCTCCTTACGAGAGTGGGGAAAAAATTTTTGATTCTCGATACGAAGGAAGCAGGAAGCAAGGCATATAGGCTGTGAGCAATGGACGCCATATTGAGTATAATAATCAATATTACAGGGATTAGCCGACTGGGGTGGGAGATATCGTCATCGATAGATAGAGATGAAATAAGAAGAAGCATTAATAAAACAAATATTCATGCATTTCTCAAGCATTATTATTACAAATACTGGCTGACTCCTGAGGGACCCGGTGAACGTGCACGTGCAAACGTCCCGTCCTTATATCAATAGTCCTCAACACCCGTTGCCAGATATATCGAATATATTTATATATTAAAGATATAATAAAGAGACAATAAAGAGACAAGGAGAGCACTTTGCAGATGCACGCAGCGGATCGTATAGTAGTGTACTCGATATATAGGTATCATATATATATGTATATATATATGTATATAGAAACGTGTCTGAAGTGTACGTGGATGTTTTGTCCGTGGTATGTTAAGTATATATATATATATACGTGTATATAACAATGTACATGAAGAATTAGAGACAGTACAGTACACAATAATAAATACTACCTGTATGCATGGTATATACTTGATTATATCGTAAAACGTATCGTTCTTATATATTGTTTTTTTTATCTTGTCCTTGCGACATTCATTATTCGTATATATATATATATATATATATATATATTCATATATATATATATTTAATAAAGTAGGTTGTTTATTTTTCGTTGCACGCCACTTATATGCAACTATTAATATTACGTAATATATATATATATATATATACCTTTATATATATTATATATAAATGTAATCGTACTGCGTAAGTATACAATAAGTAGTGTTATCTTCTTTTATCACCTGTGT